TTTCTGCAATTTATTTTCTAATTAAGGGGAGCAACATTATTAACTTTTCTTAGTAAGTATTTATAAGTGAGAATTTGTAGAAGATGTCATTTTAAAAATATTTCAACTTTTGTAACTAAGGAAAAAGTTTAAGTTAAATTGTCCCTAGGATCTGCCATCCACAGGAAAGTCAATTATGTCAACAGGGAACTGCTTAGTTCAGCCACTCCTAAACTTCTGAATGAAGTCAATGTAAAATACCACCAATCCCCAAGTTTTAGGATTCCAAGAAAAAAAAAAAGGAAAGAATGGAAAAGAAGATAAAGAAGAAAGAGGACAAGAAGGAGGAGAGAAAAGAAAGTCATACAGAGATGTGCCAAAATCAAAATGACATGCTAACACCCACCTAGCTAATAATGGCTAATAGTTTGTAGGTCCACATGGACATCTAACCTTTAAACATCGAAAAGACCCAGATAAACATTCTTGATATTACATACTCATTGACTTGCTCTAGCTCAGCCAACCTAGTCTTGTTTTCCTATGTTTCTTCCTCCCACTCCAGCCTCCAGACATTTCTACACATACCCCCATGACAGAAATAGCCACCCACCAGCCATCTGCCAAGCTGCCTTCCTGCCTTCATTCATCTGAAAAATTATCTTAAACCCCATCCTATCAGGAAGTCTCCAACAATTTGTGGGCAGTATCATAAGAGTCAGTCTAAAGAGCATAATGATAAGAGTGTTTTATACTTTATATAAAGTGCATTGATTCTTAACTCTTTCAAGCTGCATAGATATAAAGTATTGTTGCATGCATTTTACAAAGGAGGAAATTAAAGTTTACAAATGTTAAGTGCTTTATCCATATTTCCTTATATAGTAAAGGGCAGAGTTGGAGGTCAAATATAGGTCTTCTCTTTGCTGGTGATATAAATTGTTTTTACAAAGGCAAAACTGTATTATCCATTTCTGTTCTAAGAAGCATAAGGGATATTCAATGATTAGGCAAGTGCCCTAGGAGTTCACAATAAATATTAAACCTATTCATCTACAAAATTAATTGACTTCATACAATAGTAAATCAGAAGCAGAAAACGACTTTCTAGGAGTGAATGGCGTAAGCACTAACTTTTTCCAAGCAACAGAGAATACTACTTAGATTTCAATTTGCAAAAATGCAATAAAAAGCTCAACTAAATCTCTGGGCAGGTTTATAAGTAAATAATATCCATATAAGATACATGGATGCTTTTATGATTCCCTCAGAGAAGGATCACAAGAAAAATTCAACAATGAACGCCCCCAAGATAAAGCAGCCAATATTAAATGAATTTCAGCCAAGTAATTTTTATTAAATTTTCATGATTTCAACAGCTATTCATGAGTGTCTAGTCTATGTCAGGCAATGAACAGATTCAAGGGTTAGCAACTGAACTAGGTCTAGTCCCTGTTTTCTAGAAACTCCTCTCTGCCTACTCTCTCCAACTTTCTGCCATAATAGACATTTTGCCCTTAATTTTGCCTTGATTGTTTTCCTGAGGATGTTTAATTTCCTTCATTTTGGCTCTCAGTGACATTCTAGGTGCAACCATAGAGCTGAACTGTATAGTCTATAGAGGGTATATATCAAAATTGCTACAAAGCCACTGACACCATTTTGCAAGCCCTTTTTGAAACTAGAATCCCCTTCTTTTATGAAGTCCTACAATCAAGTTCCTCTTCGAGGCCTATGATTGGGTCAGGAGAATATTACAGTTACCCTACATTGTCACCTACCATATGAACCAGTTATATAAAAGGAAATTTTTACTGTTCTGACAATAAGATAGTCAATGTCTCAAGAGCCACTTGGATGGTAGTTCTTCTATTCCAAGGATTTAGTCACATGACATAGCCTCGAATCCAAATTTATATTGGGCCAGTTCTTGTTTATCTTCAGCAAGTTATGGAAATCATGGAAGGTTTCATGGAGAAACAGAAACTTGAATTAAAAATAACAAAATATGACCAAGATAGTAAGAGGAGAGCAGGACTTCCGAAATGGCAGACTGAGACCCTCCATAAATCCAGTGCTCCACAAAAGCAATAAAAAAATTATTGAAATGAAATTATCTAGAACTCTGAAAATTAGTCAAAAGATTATAACATATTGAGGAGCATGTATTCAATGAAAACGATGAACATTGGTAGAAACATAAGGGTTTGTGTATTGTACGTTGATCTACTCTCTACCACCCTCCCCAACTCCACAATAGGCTTGAAAACTGGCAACCTTGCAACCACAGTAACTATTAAAACCAACAGTAAGGTGATCTACACCTAAACACAACACAGTAAAATTTTTGAAAGCCAAAAACAAGCAGAGAATCTTGAAAGCAGCAGAAGACAAACAACTTATCATATGTACAGGATCTTCAATAAGGTTAACTCCTGACTTCTCATCAGAAATCATAAAGGCCATAAAGAAGTGGGATGACATATTCAAAGTACTGAAAGAAGAAAACTGTCAACTAAGACTTGGATATGCAAATTAAGACTTTCCCAGAAAAACAAAAATAGAGAATTCATCACTAGCAGACCTGCCCTACAAGAAATACCAAAGGGAACTCTTCAGTCTGATTTGAAAGGACACTAGAAGGTAACTTAAATCCATACCAGCAAGAAAGTTAAAAGATAACTCAAAAAACGGGAGAAAAAATTGTAAAGCATATATATGATAACAGATTCATATTCAGAATTATAAAGAACTCTTAAACTCATTAATAAAAAGACAAATGATCCAATTAAAAATGCGCAAATCATTGCTTCTCAGCCGTTTGGCTAAGATCAAGTATAAAAATGGGCAAGTCATTTGAATAGATATTTTTCCAGTGAAAACACATCAATGGCCAACAAGCATATGAAAAGGTGCTCAATATCATTAGTCATTAAAGTAATACATATCAAAATCACAATAAGATACTATTTCACATCCACTAGGATGGTTAGAATCAAAAAACATATAATATCGAATGTTGATAAGGATGTGGAGAAAGATGAAACCTTGTACATTGCTGGTAGAAGTGTTAAAATGGTGCAGCTACTTTGGAAAACAGTTTGGCAGTTTCTCAAAGTGCTAAACATATGATTCAGAAATTCTACTCCTAGGTATATACCCAAGTTTATGTGTGAAATGATACATACATAGTGAAACAATAACATGTTCACACAAAAACTTGTACATAGATGTTCATAGCTGCATTGTTCACAACAGCTGAAAATGAAAACAACTCAAATCTGTATCAACAGACAAATGGATAAATAAAATGTGGTTCATTCATATAATAGGATATTATTTAACCATAAAGAAGAATAAAGCACTGATACATGCTGCAACACTGATTAAGCTTTAAAGCATTCTTTATGCTACGTAAAGAAGTCAGACACAAATACTCCATATTGCATGATTCCACTTATATGAAATGTCTAGAACAGGCAAATGTATAGAGACAGAAAGTAGATTACTAGTTTCCTAAAGCTGGGAGATAGAAAAATGGAGAGTTTCTGCTAATGGGTACTGGCCTTCTTTTTGGAGTGATGAAAATGTTCTAAAATTAGATTGTGGTGATTGTTCAGTACATTCACAGGGTTGTACACTTTATACACTTTAAATGGGTGAATGTTTTTTACCCTGATTTGATCATTATACAATATATGTATGTATTGGAACATCGCACTGTACCCCATAAATATATAAAATTATGTACTCAATGTATTGAATTTAAAACGAAACTTTAAAACATAAAAAAAATTTAAAATATTAAAAATGGATGAATGTAATGATATGAATATTAGGGTGAATTACATCGCAAAAAAGCACTTTTAACAAAAAGAAATGAAGACAACTTCCATAAGTCCACAGTCATATACTCTAACTTGCACAAAGAAACTGATAAATTTTAATTGAAATTATTAAATATGTTGTATGGCAGAAATAGACAACATGACTTGGGATGTCATAGGGATTTAACAACCATTAAAATTTACCAGTGTTTACTATGTTTTGGGAGGCAATGTGCTATGTAAATCAGATACTTTTACAAAGTAGTTTTTCAAAATGGCTCAAGAGTAATACCATTTCTCAGAGTTTGTCATAGGAAAATAGGTAGTTTTGGTTAAAAAAAAACAAGAAGAAAGCTAAGGTTAAAAGTATGTTTGTTGCAGCATTATTTATAATAGCAAAAACTTAGAAGCCATTTAAATGTCCAACGACACCAAAGTGTTCTATTTGTCCATAGTATATTACTTAGTATCTAATCAATAAAAATTTTAAGTGGGAAGACTTTGTAACTCCTTTCATAAATGGCCATATTGCATGTAATACAGGGTGCTACAAAATTGCCTATGTAGTGTAATATTAATAGCAAACATTTATTGAGCATTTCAGATACTACACTGAGGATTAATTAATTTAATCCTCATTCTAACCCTTTGAAGTAAAGATTATTGAGGAAAGTGAGGCACAGAAATGTTAAGTAATATGGCCAGGTCACCATGCTTGTAAGTGGCAAAGTCAGCATTTGAATGTTGACCATTTGACTCTTTCGCCCATGTCTTAGTCATTAGGCTGCACCACCATTCCATCATACCATCATGCTCCATCATATGTGTTAGTGTGCTTGTGGAAAACATGTATGGGTATGAACAAGGACTGAGACAGATATTCAAAAATGGAAATACTCAGCTTGATGATAGGATTAGTAGTAAATTATTCCACTCTAATTTTTAAATGTTGTAAAATGCCTTTGCTTTTTTGCCTTTATACAAATAAAAAAATGAAGAAGAAACAAAAATCTTATGTCCCAGTTGTTATTACTGTTTCCCAGCTCCCATGGGATAAAACATGCCACATATACCAAGCAAATTTAATGCGAATGCAATACCAAAAGAACAACAAAAAATTACTCTCCATTTCATCTGCGGGGATGTACATCACAATATATTTTAGCAAACAAGTTATAGCTATATCATTTCTACCTAGAATATATCTGCAGTGTTAGAGTTAAACAGCTGGTATCTCCCAGATCCCAAAATAACAGGACCTGAACATTTTGTTTCTCCATAGACAAAAAGGAACACTGTTGCCGTGGTGCCAGCATTTTCAGGATCCCCAGTGACAATGGTCACCTTCCAGTCTCCATCTGCAAAGGAAAAAGGAAATCAATATAAAAGTATAGAGGAAAAACACATTAATATTAGGAAAATAAAGATTTCTACTTAATTTACTTGGTTATGAATAGTTTGTGAAATCAAGTACGAAAATAATTGCTTATCATGGATTTCCTTCTTGAATGCTAGAATATAAAAAGGTTTTGGAAATATTGTAGCTTAATTACAAAACAAATAGCAGTGGGCTTTTGAGAACAATACATATTTTGGGCAAAACAATGGAATTGAAGGCATTTAGAATTAAGTGTTTAGCTGAAATACTTATTTCAGTTTATTTAGGCAAATAACTGTCAAATTTGGGGATGGGAATGAATGACAGGCATCCTGAAAACCTGACGTTAAGACATCATCTGTCCTAGAAAAGAGTCCTATCAAGCTACACTAGTAACACAGTTTGGTGATCCTAGCAGATAGTGCTAAGGATGTAGAAGACATAAGAACAAGGCAAAAAAATTACTAACTTTCTTTCTCATGAAAAATTGCTGGAGTTCCCTGAGAGCTGGAACAAACCAACAAGTAAGGAAAAAAATGCTGTACTGGACAAATAGGTCTTGGCAGAAGGAGTTGGGCTTGGGGAGGGAGGATGAAGAAAAGACACGTTTGAAGCAGAGGAAGACAATGCATCGGGAAAGCATAGGAGATCACTGAGCTTCCTGCTGCAGTGATACTGAGAGCACAGAAAGGCTGAGACAAGCAGAGCATGGCAGGAAACAACTTAAAAAGATCTATGAGTTGTTTTATGATTGGTTTAGTTAGAAAGACAAAATAGGTCTTCATTTTATTATTTTGTGCACTTCTTTGGGAAACTACATCATCAAACCCACAGCAATGAACCCCTCTCACCCCGAGTCCACACCACACAGCCAAGCACAGCAAAGGACAAAGTCCTGCCAGTTAGAACTCTGTGCAGCGCATGCACCTCTACTCATCATAGCTTGTCCCTAGAGTGCAAGGGTAATCTGAAGATGTTGCTACTGTTGTTTTCCAAGGCTCCATAAACCTCCTACCTTGTAAGTAATTTTTATATTTCCAAAATACGATTAAAACCACCACACTCTGCCCACCAAGTTCTCAGCAATTCTTCCATTAAGATGTGATTTTCTTTTGAAAACAACGCCTCTCCCCACCCGCCACTGTCCGTATATCCATAAACATCATTTGAAGATCTCTAAACAGTTTGATAAAACTTGCATCAAGTAAATTTGGCATAATGTCATCTTCGTTAAGAAAGATGGACCCAGTACCTCAAATGGGCAGCAGAACTCAAAAGGGTGCACTGCTACTTCTACCCTACAGCCAGCCAGCTTTCAGGATCTACAGTTCATGTGGGAAAATAAGAAACATGCAAATCTAAAACTAAGTCCCATTGAGAATCCTATCATAATTTAATTCTTAGAGAAAACCTCACACCTGTGCTTTGATGCATAATTCAAGAAGTGGAAGGATCTCTTTCCTTTTTTGTAGGTCTTCTTTCCTATCTCATCCTTATCTCCTTCCCGGGCCATCTGGACCTGCTGTCTAGTACTATCATGATCCCCCCTACTATCATGGGGGCAAGGACAGGAATAAGTTTGCACAGAAGCTTGGATATCTTGTTTACTGAAATAGAGGCAAATAGCAAGGAACCACTGATTCATATAATATGTCTGTGTTCCTCCTTTTTGGAATTAGCATGTCACGATGACACAGGCCTTAAGGGTGGGATAACTAATGAAACATCTTCTACAGTTATTTTTATTCACTTTCAAGTTTTCCTAAGCATGTTTTTCTCTTTGCAATTGGAAAAAAAATAAATTTTATATTTCATGCTTTAAAAATCTAATCACTGAACTTCTCTAAGAATGTTTCACTACCTAAAATACAAAATAGTTGAGAACACTTATAGAAAATAATATTCTGAGTTTATTTTTAAATTAAAAGTTCCACTGCCCTATGAAATAATTTATTTATAACAGGGCTAAAAGTATGTGTACAGTTTTTGTATTGCTTGTATATGTGCCAAAATTACAAGTATTTTCTGTAATTTTCTATTGCAAAACTTTTTTCAACAAAAAAATCAAAAGAATATGCCTTCAGATATTTTATCTATATGTTTCTTTTTTTTCCTTTGCCTTATAGCTACTGTCTATTCAACTCCAAGGACTCATATCAAAAAATGTTGTCATCTGTTATTCCCTTTGGAAAATTACTTCTATTAGAGTTTTCAAAGGAAGAAAGAAAATTCCATGTAATTGAAGTCTAAATATTTATCTTACATTTACCAATGTTTTGAAGGATTTTTGTAAAAGTTCGTTGACTGTGCAATAAGCCATTATTGACAATCTGCCTCAGGCTGTGCCCTTTCATTCTCTTTTCCAAGCTTAAATTGGGGGAGATACTATAGCAATGTCTTTCATTTAAATAAACCCTACTGCAGATAAAAGGAAATTTTCTTGGAAATCACAGCCTTACGAGGCTTACTTTCTTTTGTGTTAAAAATACTTTTAAAGTAGTTTGGATATACTCTATGATCTCCAAATATTCCATAATAAATTCAGATTTCTTCTCAACAATGAAGTAAAGTCTAACAGGATCTTCCATATTTACACTGAGAAGTATGTGCTCTGCCATTTCCATTCTCATGTAACCAGGTGCAATCAGTATACATAAAACTGACCTAGAGAATTCCAAACTTCAGCCTACAGTTGTTCCTCAGTATCTGTGGAGGATTTGTTCCAGAAATCCCCATAGATACCAACGCCAATACATGCTCAAGTCCCTGATATACAATGGTGTAGTATTTCTGTATAATACACACACATCCTTTTGTGTATTTTAAATCATATCTAGATTATTTCTAATACCTAATACTATATAAATGCAACATAAATAGTTGTTAGAATGTATTGTTTAGGTAACAATAACATGAAAAAAGTCTGTACGTGTTCAGTACAGACACTACCTTCCTTTTTAAAAATATTTTTATCTGCTGTTCGTTGAATCCATGAATGTGGAACATCAAGTGTAATGTAGGCCAACAATTGGAATTAAATTAATATCTGTTGACAAGTTGACTTACAGATATTGTGTCCACATTATGCACAAACATTGTGTTCAACATTCGAGAGACTCTAAGGAACAAGTGAGTTCGATGATCAAATCAAACTCCACACAGTTTATGCATCTTACCTAATACCGAGTTTACTAATGATTCACTAGCAGGACCCAGGACAAGCATTCTTCCCTGCAGAGATCATAGCCCAGGGGTTGGCAAACTATGGCCCATGGGCCAAATCTGGCCTGCCACCTGTTTTTGTAATTAAGTTTCATTGGAATGAAGCCATGCTCATTTATTTATGTATTGTCCATCGGTGCCTTCACACTACAACAGCAGAGTTGAGTAGTTGCAACAAAGACCATATGACCTGAAAAGCCTAACCCAGGCTCATCAGCTGGCAGCATGGGGGAGCTATCTCTTCAGATGTCTGCAATTGCAGCACTAACTAAAGTTGTGTGAGAAGTTCCAAGCAAAAAATCACCTAGCTGAGTCACGTTAACTTGCTGAAAGGTAGAGATAATAACAAATTATTGTTTTAAGCCACTGAGTTTGGGGGTGGTTTTTCACACAGCAATAGATAACTAGAATAGCTGCTGAAAGTATTTCACAGATAAGGACTCTCCATTATCTTTTTACTTATAAAAACATTAGCATTTTTATCAGGATGTCTAGTTATTAGCATGTATGCACAGGGATTTGACTGAGTCACCTCTTTCATGTATCCCAGGTAGAGGAAAAAATTAGACTGCAGACTTGTCATTAACTGTTTCCTTCCCAATGTTTTCTTATCAATTGGAAATGCATTCACAGGAAAACATGGCTGAGTTATTTTGGTGAGCAAAGTTGCTACAGCTAGTAAAGTTCAATAGCCCTTCCTTAGATTATAACATTTTTTCTTTACCTTATTCTGTGTATTCTGTTACAGGGGTTACATGCATTTGACTTTGCAGTTCAGAAAATTAACCCTGTTGTTGAATATAGAAACATCTGTGTCTAGACACGTTTTCAGTTACTTGGCAACTACCCACTGAATACTCAAAGAATTGCAGAGAGGATGCATGTAAATTAAGCTCTTCCATGCAACTGTTAGTTGGGCATACTGAGGGAAAACACTCTTCACATCTGCTTGCCTTAAGTCACTGCAATGCAATAAAAAAAACGATGGGACAGTCTGCTTTGCCTCATTGGACAGCAAACGTGGTCCCCATGACTCTTACATTAACAGAGTAGGACACAGGAAGATTGAGTGAAAGCGAAAAAACCCAGCGCGTCTCTGCAGACTGCAGTCTCTCACTTCCCTGACTATAATAATCAGGGGTAGATTGAGACAGCCTAAAAAGACCAAGAGCCTTATGCATGAAATGTTTGTTTGGCTCTTACTCGGTAGAGAAGTTGAGGGTTGTGGCAGGGAAAGACGGAGAAGAACTGCAGGTGACTTGGGGGATAAAACTCAAAAGTTGAACAGATCTACCTCCCAAAAAGTCCTGGAGAGCACCCCAGATTTTAGGTGGTGAGGAAGGGTCAGAATTAATAAAGCTTTCTCTATCATTACATCCATGCTGACATAATATTACATATAGGTTGGTATGCTTGTCAAATGTCTAATCTAGCTCTTTTTATAATATTGATGCCCACTGCCCATAACACCCACCTCCAAGTAGCCACTGGACCCCTCTACAGCCTCCCTCTCACACGGTGACCTTCCCTTGTGCCAGCCTTCAGCTATCCTGAAAGGCTCCTTTCTTCCTCCAGGACTTGGACTAAAATCTTTCAGCCAAAATGTCCTCTCTTTCAGCTCTCTCCTCTAACCTGGTGAACATCCTAGCTCAAAGGTCAGCTTCTCTTAAGAAGCATTAACGTGGCCAGGTGCAGCGGCTCACACCTGTAATCCCAGCACTTTGGGAGGCTGAGGTGGGCAGATCACGAGGTCAGGAG